CATTTCTGAAGAAGGGTCTAGGCCCAAAACGTCAGCCTTCCTGCTCCTCTGATGCTGCTTGGCCTGCTGTGTTCATCCAGCTCTACACCTTGTTATCTCAGATTCTCCAGCATCTGCAGTTCCTACTATCTCTGCCAAATTGTTAGATTTCTTGGGGAACTGATGTCATATGCTGGTGTCAGAGTGAGTACAGGCTGCTTAAAAAGCTCCTAAAAATCTGTCTAATTAGCTCAAGCACTAACCCTGCATCTGTTTGTTTTAACATTTGCACCATAAGAAACTATGATAATCATCTATTAGCCTCAACATTGCTAAATTTAAGCATTCAAGTGCTTATTATTAAGATTAGAACCTGTTGCCATAATGTGGCCAAACCAAGATTTGATGCAAGTTTAACATAGAGCTTTGCGTTTTGCTGAAGTTTCATTGTCATTGAGGTTCCTGGAGGGTGTCATATGGTATCGACTTAGGACATGTTTCTTTGTAAAGCAAAACCTCTGTGACCTTGCTCAACTGCAAAGAGTTGCAACTCTGCCGACAACCTACCAGTTCAGTCCTGAGGCCGTGCACCAAGTAGTGTACCGTTATTCTTTATATATTAATTGGCCATGGTGTGAGGAAACAATGCTCTGTGATTGCTTATACATTACAGCAATAGCATGGATTTTCAACCCTTATGATCTTCTAGCTCAGCTGTGACTCCCACGGATCTCCCATCCCCTCACATTCTCAACCGTCTTCATTGTCTCCTATTTGGCCCTGGTTGCCATTACTCACTTTTTACCTCCTAATTAAATACCATAATAGGAACATGGATCCATAAGTGACATTGTTACAATTATCTTAATATATTCATTTTGGAGAATAAGAATCAAATACTTCATCAATTTTATCTGGTCTAATTTATATCTCGGAATGAATCAACCCAATTGATAAGAGTTTCCTTCCTGTCAGTTTCAATGAACAGGGCAATATTTTAGATTATGTAACCAAATGCGTGAAATGAATCATTCTGGGAAATCTCCTACATGGTAAGATGGTTTGGTCATGACCCAGTAAACTCTTGGGTGTTTCCAAGAGTTTGGAGGAATGGATATAAAAAGGTGTGCTTACGTTTCAGGCTTTCACAAGCTTCTGGTGATACATTAATCTGTGATCACTTGTTTGAGATATCAGAACCTTACAAGCTTTCGGGACCAAAATGCTGAAATTTATGATTTTGATTTTCTCCATCATAGTGTGCTTGGGCAGCACAGTCGTGAGAACAATGAACTCTGATGACCAGACCTTAAAGGAAATCATCAACACTCTGACACATATAACAAAGAGGCAGGTAAGTGAAGTAAGCATCTTTTATAATAAGATATCACTACTTAATAGTAGAATGCAAAATAGTGATTCTAAATACTGATATTCTGTCTTATCTTATACATACAACAAAATCTGGCTGATCATACAACTTGAGGTTTCCAGTTAGATCTAGAAAATAAACAAATTAGGTGACATTCAACAGTGCATGCATTTCATTGAAAGCCAAATGTGTTCATTAAAAATATAAAGAGGGAAAATATTTATTATTTGTTACTATTGTGCACAGAAAGACATTAGACCAATTTACCACTCTGTATCATTATTGTGTAGCACCCATGATTAAACTATTAACTATGTCTCCCCAAAAGATAAAAAGTTTATTCTTGATTTTCTGTTGCAACGCTGATTTGAACCAAGTAGACTACTGCTAATTAGATTTAGCTGGCTATAACGGTCTTAGAGTTAACTCAGGACTTTTGTCATAACCAGGTGAGGAGGGGTTATGGCTCCCCTCTTTTTAAATGCCTCTTGGTCGACCACAACAATTTTTTTAAAATTATGTTTTAGTACATAGCCATTACTCTTCAAATAAATTGAGAAGATTTTTATAAATGAAGGGGAGCCAATCCAACATTTAGCTATAAAACCAGAAGCGTTAACTCTTGTTCTTTTTTTCTTGGCAGGTCCTGCCAGACCTGCTGGTATTTTTTTCCGGCAGCTTCTATTTTTGTTCCTGATTTCGAGCATCTGCAGTTCTTTTGGTTTCTTTAGGCCATGTTTTGAATCAAGGTTGGAATGAGGGCAGGAGCTGAGTGAATGGGCAGAGCACAAACTAAGTGATCAGCCAGAAGTTTATTGTTGTGTATGTGCTCTTTGATAGGAATGTAGATGAAAACTTGCATCATTTTGCTTATGTGGAGATTGGACTGATGGGATGGAGGTTGAATGGGTTGAACATGTGCTGAGTTTTTTTTGTCTAGGATATCACTGGACAATTTTTCACATTTTTTGGTAGATGTTAATATCAAATATAATATAAAATTTTAACAATCGCTATATCCAATCTCTTCTTGGGGCGGCACAGTGGCTCAGTGGTTAGCACTGCTGCCTCACAGCACCAGGGACTCAGGTTCGATTCCAGCCTCGGGCGACCGTCTGTGCGGAGTTTGCACATTCTCCCTGTGTCTGCGTGGGTTTCCTCCAGGTGCTCCGGTTTCCTCCCACAGTCCAAAGATGTGCAGGGTAGGTGGATTGGCCATGCTAAATTGCCCATAGTGCCCAGGGATGTTTAGGTTAGGTGGGTTAGATGTGGGGAAATCAGGGGTAGGGGATGGGTCTGGGTGGGATGCTCTTCAGAGGGGCGGCGTGGACTTGTTGGGTTGAATGGTCTGCTTCCACACAGTAGGGATTCTATGATAAGATATTGGAACAGAATTGGACCCTTCAGCCCATTGAGTCTGATTTGACCATCGCTGATATGTTTCTTAATCCCATTCTCCTGCATTCTCCCCATAACCCTTGATCCCCTTACTAATCTAGAATTTACCTTAAATACACTCAATGACTTGGCCTCCACAGCCTTCTGTGGCAATGAGTTTCATAGATTCACCACTCTCTGGCTGAAGAAATTCCTCCTCATCTCAGTTCTAAAGGGTCATCCCTTCAGGCTGTGCCTCGGGTTCTAGTCTCTCCTACTCATGGAAACATCTCTTCATGGCTCCTCTACTCAGGCCTTTTAGTATTCTGTAAGTTTCTACGAGATCCCCCCTCATCAAGTACAGATCCTGAGTCTTCAACCACTCCTCACAAGTGAGGTCCTTTATTACAGGATCATTCATGTAAACATCCTCTGGATCCCCTCCAGCACATCCTTCCTTAGATACAGGGCCAAAACTGCGCACAGTATTCCAAAAGCAGTCTGACCAAAGCATTATACAGCCTCAGCAGAACATCATGCTCTAGTATTCAAGCCCTCTCAAAATGAATGTTAATGCATTCACCTTCCTAACTGCCAACTGAACCTGTTTGTTAACCTTAAAAGAATCCTGAACTAGGTCTCCTAAGTCCCTTTTTGCTTCAGATTTCTCAAGCCTTTCCCCATTCTTTCTACTAAAGTGCATAACTTCACAGTTTCCCATGTTATATTCCATCTGCCACTTCTTTGCCAACTCTCCTAGCCTGTCTAGTCCTTCTGCAGTTTCTTCATTTCCTCAACATTACCTGTTCCTCTACCTATCTTTGTTTTATCTGCAAACTTAGCAACAATGCCCTCAGTTTCTTCCTCCAGGTTGCTGATATGAAACATGGATAGTTATGCTCCCAAAACTGACCTCTGTGGAACTCCACCAGTCATCAGCTGCCAACATGAAAAAGACTCCTTTATCCTCCTCTCTGCCTTTTTCCAATCAGCCAATTCTCTATCTATGCCAGTACCTTTCCCTAACACCATGGTCTCATCTTTTGTAGCAGCCTAATTTGCAGCGCCTTGTGAAAGACCTTGTGGGCATCCAAACAGATCACATTCACTGGCTCTCCTTTGTCTAACTTGCTTGTTACTTTCTCAAAGAATTCAAACAGATTTATCAGGCACAATCTCCCCTAGATGAAGCCGTGCTGACTCAGCCCTATTTTACCATGCATTTCCAAGTACGCTGCAATTTCATCCTTAAGTATGGATTCTAAAATCTTAGCAATGAGCAAGGTCAGTCTAACCCAAATATAGTTTCCTGTCTTCTGCCTTCCTCCCTTCTTAAACAGATAAGATGTATTAACCATTTTCCAGTCCTCTGGGATCGTCCCAGGCTTCAGTGACTGCTAAAAGATCAGCACCAGTGCCTCCACAATCTCCTTGGCTATGTCCTTCAGAACCCTGGGGAGTAGTCCTTCCAGTTCAAATGCTTCATACACCTTCAGACCTTTCCCAAGTGAATGAGAATTGAGCTTCACTATTTATTACCCCAAAGAAACGATAAATCGCAGTATCAAAAGCATATCCTCCATACAGTTAATGAGCTTACAAAGAATAGGGGTAGTCTCTACAGTCACGAAGGTAAATAGGTGAGAAGGAAGGCAAGTGGTGAGAATGACTCAAAGGGTCTGCCGCGAGATATAAACAGGTTAAACATTTGGACAAAAACTTGGCAGATGGAGTAAAATGTGGGAAAATTTGAAGTTATTTATACTTTGACAGGAGGAATTGAGGAGCTGAATATAGCTGAATTGAGGAACTGTATCTATCCTCATTTGCGTTTAGAAGAATGAGAGGTGGCTTTATTGAAACACGTATGATTTGTACAGATTTGACAGGGTACATGCAGAGACATTGTTTCCTGTTACTGGGATGTCAAGGACCATGGAGAATAATCTCAGAATAAAGGTTTGCCCATTTAAGACAGAAATGTGGAAGAATTCTTTACCACAGAGTGCTGTAGAAGTTTGAACATTAAGTATATTCAAGGCTGAGATAGGCAGATTTATCATCACTAGGGGAGTCAAGGATTATGGGGAAAGGCAGGAAAGTGGAGTCGAGGATTATCAGAGCAGCCATGATTTCATTGAATGGTGGTGTGAACATGATGGGCTGATTGGCTTCCTTCTGCTCCTATGTTTTATGGTCCTAGAATCTTAAAGGCAGACATAGGTACAGACCTTAAGAATCCCTTGGAGTGTGAGAACGAAAAGGCTTAAGTCCACCTGTATAGTTGCTGTCCTGTTTCTTTAGCAGTAGTGAAGTTCAGAGATCATGAGTTTTCAACGAGTGATGATTTTCCCCAGTTGCTTATTCATTGGCACTAGTTTTTGAGATTGAATCTGAAACAGAGAATGAGGGAGAGAAGACTTCCTAGTTTTTTTTCTGTTATCAGTCTACATTAATTTTACTGTGTTTTTTAACTCACAGGCTGCTATAGCTTCTGGAAAGAGTCACCAGATCCAAAACGTTAACTCTGATTTCTCTTCACAGATGCTGCCAGACCTGCTGAGCTTTTCCAGCAACTTCTATTTTTGTTGCTTTGTTATGTCTTTTCTTTGTGGATGCTGATATCTGTGCACTGCTTCATTTCAAGTTGGACAGTTGTAACAACCTTTCCCTTACAATATGTGAAGTTATCAATACGAGTTTGAGGAAAACAAGAAATATAAATTTCTTGACACCTCACTGAGTTTCTGCGGTTCTTGTTATAAATTGTAACTTTGAGGCAACACAGTGTGGAGCTGGAGGAACACAGCAGGCCAGGTAGCATCAAATGAGCAGGAAAGATGACGTTTCGGGTCTAGACGAGAAGAGCCCCGACCTGAAACGTCAGCTTTCCTGCTCCTCTGATGCTGCCTGGCCTGCTGTGTTCTTTCAGCTCCACACTGTATTATCTCTGACTCCAGCATCGGCAGTTCTTACTATTTCTGAGTAACTTTGAGGCAGTTGATTTTGTACATTCCATGAGTCACCTAGACTTATTGGAGATCAGGGCAGCAATTTAAAAACCATTTTGAGTCCATGAAATCCTCAAGTATTAAATTCAAGTGATAAAAGTTGAATATTGACAGACAATTTTCACTACAATCGTAATATATTTCAGCAATCTTTCAGTTCAACAGCAATGAAAATATTACGCTGAAGTGTTTCAGAGATGTGTTCTTTTGAATAGAAAAGTTCTAATTGCACTTTCTTTGCAGGCTGCCTGTCATGACAAGATGGTCCTGGACATTTTCAGTGACATGACAGTAAGTTGAATTATTGTCTCATTATACAATTCATTTGTTCTATTTCAATGCTAAAGCATTAGTTGGTTGCCAGCCCTTTGCACAAAAATCATTGTATGGGAGAATTCCTTATCAGACTTTCCTACTGTCCAAAACCTTTGAATGTAGTATATTCAGCTAATATAAAATTTGGGAGTCAATCATACCGTTTTGTGCTTTTTTAGTGAGTTAGAACCTCCTTTAATACAGCAAGCTTTCATGTGAATGAATTAATATCTCATAGTGAACAATATGATTTCGTCCCTTTAACCTGTTACCAAATGTTCCTCAGTGCCATTTAAGAAGTGATCAGATATTAATGTTCATTTGCAGTACCATATATGTAATAGACACCAATATTTTGCAGCACATTATAATAATTTTCAAACAAGCTAGCTCCTTGAATGGCATTGAAATGATTGACAACGTGCTGATTTTTTGCTGTTTGGATCAGCGTAATTCCCCAACTGGCTATGAAATCAGAAAATGCTGGAAATATACAGCAGATCAGCTGGAATATGAAAGAGAAATATTGATTAGTATCTTAGGTGTGACCCATTTCATCAGAGTTCTAAACCAAACACAGAGAATGCTGAAGAAACTCAACAGGTCTGGCAGCATCTGTGGAGGGAGAAACAGGATTAACTTCTGACTCCAGTATGATTCTTCCTCAGAACTCATAAAATTCGAAGTTATCAATTATCTTGAGTGACAAATTAATTACTAATTCTTTCCAACTGAGAAGCTGGCCTTGATTTCAGCACTATCAACGGTTAAAATAATGAGAATTGAACTTAATATTTGAGATTACATTTTGGCACATTAGATTAGAAATGAGTTTGTTTTGTGTTTCTCCTTTCATTAAATTGAACAATGAATTTAATTATTTTTAACAGCAATAAGCATTCCTACATTATATTTCCTTTTCTGCATCTTTATCTCTGAATGTTAAGTCCGTTTCATTATTAAAGAGAAGATCAGCGTTAATATTCTAAATATTTTCAAGAATATTCATTAAGCTTTAATTATACATCAATTCAACGATCATTTGATGGCAAAGGCTAGAGACATTCTGGTGAACTCTACGTATTTTCAATCACTGGATCAGTGTTTTTATTTAATCAATAATGTAATTTCCAGCATCAGACTGTCTCAGAAACATTTTGCAAAGCTTTCAAAGCCCTGAAGAATATTACTCCCTGTCCACATATCCAGCATGACCTACAGAAACTTCAAATGAACTTACGAAAAGCCGGAGAAAAGGTGAGTGTTCTTTACAACAGATAAGGCAATTGACAAAAAGAAGCAAAAGCAACACAAGGAAAAGCAGAAAGTGGTTAAGTTCTGGAATGCAATGCCTGAGATTATGGAGAAGCCAGGCTTAACCGATGCATACAAAATGAGATTAGCTTGGTATCTGAAAAGAAATGTGCAAGATTTTGGGGTGAAGGCAGAGTAATGAAAAGAGACGAAGTGTTGATTCGGAGAACGAGTCCAGACATGGAGTGAAGTGTGAAAGGAAGTGCTGCTAAAACTATGCAAGGCACTCATTAGATCACAATTAGAATATTGTGAACAGTTTTGGTTACTTTATTTGATGATGGAGGCGGTCCAGAGAAGGTTCACTAGGTTGATTCCAAACTTGGAGGAATTTTCTTATGAGGAGATTTTGAGTGAGTTGGGCTTCTAATCAGTTGTTTGGAAGAATGAGAGTAGACCTTATTGAAAGATAAAGGATTCTTAGTGGGCTTGACAGGTTAGGTGCAGGAAGGTTGTTTCTCCTTGCAGGAGATCTAGGACCAGACGAGATTATTTCAGAGTAAAGGGCCATCCTTTTAACTCAGATGAAGAGGAATTTCTTCTCTCAGAGAGAACTGAATTTGCGCTGTAGAGTTCTGGGTCATTAAGTATATTCAAGCCTGAGTTAGATAGCTTTTCAATCAGTAAGGAAATCACATGTTATGAGGAAAAGGCAGGGAAGTGGAGTAAGGATTATCAGATCAGGCATAACCCATCTGAGTAGCAGAATAGACCCAATGGGCTGAATGACCTACCTCTGCTCCTAAGGCTCTATTGTCACATGGTCTTAGGCCTGGATTACTGAGCTCAAACCTCATGATGGCATTTTGAGGGCTTGATTTAAATTTAGAAAAAATATGGAACTAAAAAATGCTGACATTTATAAACGTGATCATCAGACAAAAGAAAATCCCAATTAGTTAATGAATATCTCTCAGGGAGTGAGATCTGCCATCCATTACTCAACTTGGTTTACGTTCTCCATGCGCAAATCAACGTTGTTGACTCTAAGTGTCCTCTGAATTGGCTGGACAAGAAACAATCCATTTTAATCAAGTTAACAATGGGTCAGGAAGAACATACATTAACAGTTTCTCAGGGCAATTAGAATCAGTAATAAATGGCAGCCCTGTTTTCTGTGGGCAAAATGACGGGATACCAGTTGGTCATCCTTATTAAACACTGTTAATAATTTACCTATAAAGTAATACTACTTAAATATCTGCTAAATTGCAGTTCATGTTTTGTGACCTTAAAATAAAACAAACATTTTTCTCCTTATAGACACCGACTTGCACAGTGAACAATGATTCTGAGATTCAGTTACGCACATTCCTGAAACATCTGATGAAGTTTTCCAAGAGAACATACGGACATTGATACCTTGAAGAATACAGTGATCTTATCTTCAATTATCTTCAATTATCTGTGTGCTTTGGTAGGGCAGATAAACCTTGTTAATTTGAGACAGCTTGTTTTAATTTCAGAAATTTACAAATCACATGTAATATTTATTTATTCATCAACTGGATAGCTTTGTGGCATTCATGATGGCCTGTTATGTATACAATATTCACCCAAATGAAATATTTTCTTCATTACATAAGAATCATATTTATGTGATATTGAACTGTGATATCCTCACCTGTGTAAATGCTGCGTACAATTATAAAAATGCTGAATATTTGCCATTAACTTAGATTGTCAGAAGAAGAATAGCATTAATCTTTCATGCTTAGGCATTTTGATTTATCCAATAAGTCACCTGTTCTTTCCTAATGTTTTCTCTTATGGTTCATGTATCTGAAGGCAAAACAATAAATTTTTATAAAATACATAATCGTTAGTGTTTCTACAGTGAAAATCATTATTTTTGGTGAGATTCACTAATTAAGAACAAGATTGTAAGTAAGTAAAGGAGGACTAAGAGATAAATTAAGATGGGGAAAATATTGTGTGACAGTAAGCTTGTGGGAAACGTAAGAACTGACTGTAAAAGTTTTTATAGATATGGAAAGGGAAAAAGATTGGTTAAAACTTACGTAGATCCCTTACAGTCAGAAACGAGGAATTTATAACAAACAACAAAGAAATGATTGTTGAACTAAACTTATACCTTGCTTCTGTCTTCTCAAAGGAGGGAACAAATAATTTACCAGAAATGATGGGGAGCACAAAGTTGAGTGTGAGGGAGGAACTGAAGCAAATTTGTATTCGAGGAGAAATGGTGTTGGAGAAATTGATGGGATTGAAGGCTGATAAATCCCCAGGGTCTGATAATGTATATCCCAGAGTACTGAAGGAACTGGCCCTAAAATAGTGAATGCATTGGAGGTCATCTTTCAAGATTTTTTAGACTCTGATACCATTCCTACAGATTGGAGGGTAGCCAATGTAACCTTACTATTTAAAAAGGGCAGTAGAGAGAAAACAGGAAAGTAGATCAGTGAGTCTGAAGTTGGGGTAGTGGGGAAGATGCAAAAGAACATAAGAACATAAGAACTAGGAGCAGGAGTAGGCCGTCCGGCCCTTCGAGCCTGCTCCGCCATTCAATAAGATCATGGCTGATCTTTTCGTGGACTCAGATCCACTTGCCCACATTCTCACCGTATCCCTTAATTCCTTTATTGTTCAAAAAAAATCTACCTTATCTTTAAAAACATTTACTGAAGTAGCGTCAACTACTTCATTGGGCAAGGAATTCCATAGATTAACAACTCTCTGGGTGAAGAAATTCCTTCTCAGTTCAGTCCTAAATCTGCTCCCTCTAATCTTGAGGCTATGCCCTCTTGTCCTAGCTTCACCTGCCAGTGGAAACATCCTCTCTACTTCTATCTTATCTATTCCCTTCATAATTTTATATGTTTCTATAAGATCCCCCCTCAATCTTCTGAATTCCAATGAATATAATCCCAATCTACTCAGACTCTCCTCGTAAGCCAACCCCCTCAACTCCGGAATCAACCTAGTGAACCTCCTTTGCACTCCCTCCAGTGCCAGTACATCCATTATCCAGAAGTCCATTATCAAGGATTTTATAGCAGAGCACTTATAAAACAGTCAATTTACAAAGGGGAAATCATGCTTGACAAATCTATTGGAACTCTTTGAGGATGTAACTAGTTGAGTTGATCAGAGGAAGGCAGTGGATGTGGTTTATTTGGACTTTCAGAAGGATTTCGACAAAGTCCCACATAAGTGTGCAATGTGTAAAATTAAAGTGCATGGAATTGGTGGCAATGTATTGAGATTGATGGGAAATTAGTTAGCAGATAAGAAAGACAGAGTAGAAATAAATGGGCCTTTTTCTGAATGGCAGGCATTGACTCGTGGAAAACCGTAGGGTTCAATGCTAGGGCCCCTGCTATTCACTGTACATATTAATGATTTAGGTAAGGGAGCTAAGCATAATATCGCAAAATTTGCAGATGACATAAAACTGGTTAGGACGGTGAGGAGGACAAACAGATGTTGCAATGTGATTTGGAAAGGCTGAATGAGTGGACAAATGCATGGCAGATGCAGTATAATGTAGATTAATAGGATGTTATCCACTTTAGTAGAGAAATATAGGCAAATGGTTGTGAATTGAGAGATTGGAAAATTCAATGAGACCTTGGTTCCTTGTGCATCAGTAAGTAAGTATGTGTGCATGTGCAGCTGACAATAAACCAAGCAAACTGTATGTTGGTCTTCACAGTGGGTGGATTCAAGTACAGGAACAAAGATATCTTGCTGCAATTATACAGGGCATTGGTGAGGCCATACTTGGTGCAGTTTTGGTCTCCTTATCTGTGGAAAGATGTTCTTGCTATAGAGGGAGTATAGTGAAGGTTTAGCAAATTGATTCCTGGGATGGCAGGACTGATGCATGAGCAGAGATTGAGGCAGTTAGAATTGTATGTATTGGAGTGTAGAAGAATGAGGGGGAATCTCACAGAAACCTAGAAAATTCTAAAGTATTTTGAGGTACCCTGATGATCTGAAAGTTGCTATATAAATTCAAGACTCAAGCGTGGATGATTGATGCATTTATAACTTTTGGGATCTTTGCCCATATGCAAACTAGATGTGCTACAACTTTGAGAAGTGTAAATCCTAGTGCAGTCCCAAATTGTTGTGACCATTGACACCATAGTTTTTGATTTTCATTTGTAGTTTAGATTATCAGCTATGTTGGGAAATCGCCCTACCCATGAGAAAAGCCAGTGCATAGTTTGTACACAAGGGTATCCATGCAGTATACATTGCATGCATGATCACTCACTCTAGTTAATCTTTCATCCTCAACTGAGATTATTTATAAAGGCCCCTTAGTTTACTGGTTCATTTGAATGACGGAACCTCCTCCAATTCAACACTCCCTCAGTGAGGAAGCATTAATGTGTCAATCTTAATTATGTGCTTGTTTTGGGAGTCAGAGCTGAGCCTGTAACTTTGTAATTGGGATAAGAGTGTTGCTCAGTTAGCTGTCCAAAGTTCCAAAGTTCATCACCAGCCTCAACAGTGGGGATCTATTGAGAAACAACAGCAAGGTTTGAAGTAAAGAAGCCCAAGGACTCAGACTTAAAACTAATCACAAATAATTTATCACTATTAATACAAGTGAAACCTCTAACAGCGCACTGATAGGATTTTTTGAGTGAAACATTTTGAAATGCATCAGTTGGTCAAAAGGTTACAGAGCATAACTCTTGCATGAACGCAACTCTCGCTACAACACACTCATCTCATGATTATCCAGTTATCATGCTTTGCAATCAACCCCAATACTCAGCGTCATTTACAAGAAGTTACTGTTATCTTCCTCCAGCCTTTGGAGACACAAATTGCAAACATTATAGCTGCTGGTCAAAACTTAGACATAGCAACAAGTCACAATTTCAGATACTTTTATTCTAATCTAATTTTGGCATCATTTTCCTTGCTTTGATGCTATCAGTTAATATTAAGATATTATAATTAACATTAAGGTAAACTTCTAATCACATATCCACACTGTTACAATCAATGCCAAATAGAGTTTAGAAGATTGAGATTAGATCTAACTGAGATTGGCAAAATAGACGTCAAGAGGATGCTTCTTCATTTGGGACAATCAAGAATGAGTTTTACGATAAGAAGCAACAGACTTAAAACAGAGATGAGGAGAAATTAGTTCTCTCAAAGCCTCATGAATCTGTGGAATTCAGCAACCCAGAGTTTGATGGATACTAGGACATTGAGTAAATTTAAGAAGGAGATGGACATTTTTAATTAGTAATGGGTTGAAGGGTTATGGGGAGCGGGCAGGAAAGTGGAGTTGAGGCTGAGAAGAGATCAGCTACCATCGTGTTAAATGGTGGAGCAGGCTCAAGGGGCTGAACTGCCTATTCATGCTCCAAGTTCTTAAGTCCTTATATATGGAAATCCACAAGGAAATCACAGGGTAAGGAAAAGAGAGGTGACAAGCAAATATCATGTTTTCTATATGTAAAGAATAACCGTCCTAGTATGTATTGGTTTATCTCAGCTACTGGCAGATTTTGGTCAAATATTAAACATGTTGAGAGGAAATGCTGAGGCCTAAGAGGGGATTTACTGACACAACAGTACCTGAGGCAAAGAGGCAAAGACAGAGTACACAAGTCCCAGGACAAATAAAGCCATTCACAATTTGGATGCAGATATAGGTGCTAGCAAAAGGGAGGATGTTGGTGCCAATGAACTTATCGATTCTATGTACATTAAGCGAATAGTAGACATAGTTTATCGATTTTCAACTTCCATCACCTGATTTCAATACCCAAGACCTTCATGGCCAAAGACAAATACTGACCTGAAATGGTTGCTGTGATCATCTGAGCACAGATCGACACTGAATCACAAAATTATTACAGTGCAGAGGAAGCTCTTTGGAACCTGCAACAATCCAGGAGGACTCTCTTCATGAAAATCCAACCGACCAGCAATCTTTCTTCCCCCTTCTTCACAGTTACGTTGACTGTGTTACCAACACCCTGGCCTGGGGTGTGGGCACTAGCAGAGGCTATAGCTCTGGTTGGCTGGTCAGTTACTGAACTGATGTTAGGCCAAAGTCAGAACTTTCTAACAAGCACCAAGATATCGCTTGGCTGGTGGTGAGAAGGGCACTACCTGTGAGATTCTTCATGTCGGTCTGCATAACTGCACACTGCCCTCGAAGTGGTTGCGGTGGGGGGCTGATGCCACACATCTTCTGGAATGTGCCTTTGCAAAGAAAGTCTGGAGGAAGATGCAGTGGCTTGTGTCGAGGTTCATCCTGAAGAGCTCCATGACGCGGGACTCTATGCTCCACAGTCTGTTCCCCGGGCCACACACCAAGACAAAAGTCAACTGTGCCTGGAAGACTGTCAACTTGG